CAAGTCTAAGCCTCCCCTCTCACATCTCAGCCCAGTGTGAGATGGGTTTTCCAGACAACACATGAGACTCAAAATGGGGGGAAGGGAATATATTACAAAGATTGTACTCTGTACAAATAAATATTATAATACATTACACACAAAATCTCAACTATCTCTACCATGATAAAACAGTATTTACAATGGATCAAACCTCTTCTTCCTCCAAATAAAAGTCCAGGAGGGAAGAAGGAAGAGATCCTTTCTACTTTCCGAGCAGCAGTGTCTCTAGGGCAGCAGGCTCTCCTCTTTCATGCAGCAGTTGTAGATGGATCTCTGCCAGTACACACGAGGGGGTATCCAAGCCCCTCTTGGCCCTTCGACTCCAAGCGAGGGTCTTCTCTTCCGTGGGCTGTGTTGCAGGGACAAAACTTGCTTCACCACGTCATATCATGGGGTGTAAGACATCCCATGAAGGTCCCTTCCTCAGGAGATTCACCCCTGAGTCAGAACATCTTGGGTGGCTTTCAGTTGAAGGCCTTTGCCTCAAGAGTTCTACCAGAGCTTCTGTGCTCTGATCTCAGGCTGTTAGCTTAGCTTGGCAGCAGCGGCGAGGAGGGCCAAGGTCACCCCCTCCACATTCCGTCTGGCCGTCCCAGTCCAGCTTTCCAGGACACCTTGAGCTTCTCAGCTCCTCTCTGCAGTGCTGCTGCACTCCACCCCTCCTTTCTAGGAGGGGTCTCCAAGGAGTTTGGAGGGGGGTTGTTTTCAGTTCTTACCCAAACTCTGTCTCTGTAGAGCTTCGTTCTGCTCTCTTTCTCTCCATTAGAGATCTCTGTGTCTTCCTTGGCTGCATGCTGTCTCTGCTGCTTCTCTCTTATCTCTTGGCTCTCTGCCACTGTCTTCCATACGCTGCTGCTTTTGCCGCTGCTCCCGCTGTTGTTTACAGTGGGGAAAAAACTCCCAGCTTCTCAGTCACAGACCTCAGTCCAGTTTAACACTGTTTCTGAGTTTCTGTGACTCCAACCGGGGGCTGGGGGGGCCATAGCCACCCAGTGGGGCTCCTGCCCCTTCTCCTCGTGGCCTCAGAACATGGCTACCTCTCCTACAACAACTACAACAACTCTTCCGGTCTGGGTGATATGTTTATATTTTGCAGAAGCGCTCCTTGGCTCAACCCCAAGGGTCACCACCCCCTGGGGGTTTACCATTTTATAACTTCAGGGGGAAAACTGTTTTTTCCCCCACCACAACATTAGAAAGAAATTCTTTACAGAGAGAGTGATCACACATTGGAATGGGCTGCCCAGGGAGGTGGTGAAGTCACCATCCCTGGAGGTCTTTAAGAAGAGACTGGATGTGGCACTTAGTATCATGGTCTTGTCTCAGTCTGATGGGACTGGAATGTTTGCTAAAGAGGATGAGTTATGAGATAGACCAAAACTTCTCTCTCTCAGCAATTGTAAATTCAAAATTAAGGGGCTTTAATCGAGGAAGTGTGGAAAAACAGAAAAAGTAACAACCCTTTATTAAAAGATATATGTATGTTGGCAGAAATAGTAACAGAACACAGAAAAAATAGACAGCAATCCTAGAAAAAAAAAAAACACAAAAAAAAGGGTCTGACTGAATACTTCTCTGTCCTTTAGCACAGTCCTAATCGTGACCTGCAGGGGGCGCTGTTGGGCTCTGGCGGTCACCACGCGGGGAGAGGGGTCTGGGGGGTTGGTCTCGGGTCACAGGAGGAGCCGATAAGAAGATGGGGGACCCTTCCCTCAATGGAAGGAAGGGGTAAGGAAAGCAGTTCATCCCCCAACAGGACTCATGTGGTTGGGGGAACTGTGGTTCTCAGTTGATGGTGCCCCATCTCAGTTGAGCTGAGAAAGCTCCTCCTTTTCTCCCAGCGAGCACAGAGACTCTCCGAAGAAACACACAGCAGGTTCGGGTTGGAGACAAAAGTCAGCTCGCAGGCAAGTTGAAGCCAGCAGTCAGGGCTGACCAGGATGGGAAACCAAACAAAAAGGCTTCCAGGCCTTCTCTCCAAATGCCCCAAACACAGACCCTGTCTCCATCCTCGAAAGAGAACCCAACCATCTGCCTCTCTCCCCTCTGAACACAGCCCGCGCCGCCCCCTCCCCAAAACTCCTCCCCCCAGTCTTTGATGGGCCGGAGGAATTCAGCAAGATCTTTTGTAAAGCTAATTGGCTCCCTTCCCCCCTTTCCACTCAAATTCCGTCTTTCCTACAGTGAGGGGGCAGGGGAAAGAAAAATTCTCCTGAATTTCTAACCTATAACAGTCTAGTTGACAGAGTGGTGTTGGGTCATGAGATCATGATGTCAGAGGTCTTTTCCAACCTGGTTGATTCTGTGATTCTGTGATCATGCTCAGTATATAAAGTCGGGGGAAGAAGGAGGAAGGAGGGGACATTTGGAGTGATGGCATTTGTCTTCCCAAATCACTGTTACATGTGATGGGACCACGCTCTCCTGGAGATGGCCAAACACCTGCCTGCCCATAGGAAGCAGTGAACTCATTCCTTGGTTTTCTTTGCCTGTATGCATGGCTTTGGTTTCCCTATTAAACTGCCTTTATCTCAACTCACAAGTTTTCTGGCTTTTACCCTTCTGATTCTCTCTCCTGATCCTGCTGATGGGGCAGCCATATGGGGCTTGGCTGCCAGCTGGGGTGCAACTATGACATCAGATCAGTGTGGTCATGCAATAAACAAATGGCTCTCAAAAAACAGATGAACCAAGAAGGGGGGGGGAACCAACCAAAAAAAACCACAAATACCCCCTTCAGGATGTAGTTGATTATAACTTTTTCTGTTCCAGAAAGTGCACTTTATTTTCAATTTCCAATCTCACATATACCTCTTTAGCCTTGTGCTCAAAATTTACAAAGCTTTAGCTTGTCAGCTAAGGGAATTCTCTGTCTTTCCTCTGAATATTAGTTACATAATAGCTTGAGCTAAGCAATCAAAGTGGTGATAGGTCAAAAGGAAGATTTGCCCGAGGTGATGCAGGAAGTTGATGGCAGAGCTTGAAGCTGAATACACATTTCTCTGCTATTCAGACAGCACAAAAACCAATAGAACCTCCTTCACTATTTGGATTTTGTTGGCTTTTTTCCAAAGCAGCACTGTTTCTGAAGCCAAAGCTGCAAAATGCAATGGCATTGAAAGAGCTAATAAGCCAAAGAAATATCCCCAAACGGCACGGCTTTCTAGCTCTCAATGGCACTTCCATGATAGTACTAATAAATTATATATCTTACAATTGGTGTTTTCTACATCCTGTAAATAGGTACAGTTCTGGAGATACTAAGAGGAGTGTGTTAAGCCCAGTCTTCCCCTTGGATTTTACACTCCTCACCTTCAAAACTCTTACGTCCAAAAAATCCACAGCTCTTTGGTACTAACATTTCTAGTTATAAAAGAAAGTCGTCGTTCAACCTCCTCACATCTGTTTTGTGGGACTAAATGACAACTACTGAAAATTTTAGTTGGAAAGTGGTAGGGACGGTAAATACAGCACTGAAATTTACAGGGATGAATTAAACATTTTTTGACATTGCAGAACAGTGTAACATTAACTTGTCAACAGTGCAGGATCCAGTAAATAGGCCAAGCAAGGAATTAAGAGGGTCAGTACTCCAAGGTCCACTCTCTGAAGTGACAGCAGTGATTAAGATGACACCTGCACTTGAAACTGCCATTCTTTAGGTTCTTTAGGGGTTATGATTTATCTGCAGTTGACTAAGGAATGGGCCAGGCATTATAAGCATTACTCACATTCCCAGAAATTTCAAGATTTTTCTCCTGTGAATTTACCTGGCATCGGCTTCTTCACAAAATGCCTTCAGAACTGAACATGAAGCCTCAAGTACTTAAGATCTGAAAAACTGTAAAATAGGCAAAGTTATATGTATGTTGAGCAATCTATCTGGATCTTCCCTTCTCTTCAAGCAGCTCATCAGAAACTCTTTCTGTAAAAAGAAATATTTACAAAAATTGGGTTTTTGCACAAGTCTAGGGAAACATTGTGAGAGCATGAGTTCTCAGTCATTAATTAATACTTGATCCAATGGATTACAAATTCTAGGTTGATTTTGACATTAGATTAGCACGTTTCTTTGGGTTATTTCCGTGAGCATTCCGAAGACACATACTTTGAACTTCTAATAATTGCCTACAGGTCTTTTATTCAACCTTAAGCACACACTTTTTCCACTGAAAAATAAAAACTGAGCTCTGACTAGAACTAGCTAATGCGACAAAACAGCCTAACATGCTATTTCTACAAGCAGCCTTGTCCAAAGAACAAATAAGATAAAAATAGGGACAAGCTAAACTTAGATTTTGGTGGGTGCTTTCACTTAATTACCTGATAACACTTCTCTTGTTTTTTGTTTTACAAGGCTGCAGGCTGCTTTCCGCCCTATAAAGCTGCTACAACTGCTTTCCTCAGAGTGGGACTTGGCTATGATGGCACTCATTAGTACTGCTACGAGGGTCTAAATCTGAAATGATGCAACAAAACTAAAGGTGACTTGTGCTATTTATTTATTTAAAAAAAAAAAAAAAAAAGCCGACAACCAGCCCAAGTCGTTTTATTTTTATAGTTTAACTTCAACCGAGCCGCAGTGGGTGCCTGTGGCCCCCGCTCTCTCTGCTGATACGCTCGGGGCCAAGTTTCGTGGTACCACGGGCACCCCGTGGGTCCGGCTGGGAGCCGCCCTCGGTAGCAGCTGCCGCCCCCGGCAGGCTCTCCCAGGATCCCCCGAATCCCCTGAATCCCGGCCTCGCCGAATCCCTCGGGGCCCAGGCCGGCCTGGCGAGCTCCGCTCCTGGGGCCGCCGGCACCCTCCGCGGGGTGCCCCCGAGCCGCCCACGGGAAACCCCGCGGGGGGAGAGAAACCCCCGAGCCGAGCGCGCCAGCGGCAGGAGCGGAGCGGAGGCGGCCCCGCCGGGTCACGCCCGCCCCCGGCCGCGCCACCGCCCCTTCCTGTCATGGCAGCGGCCGGGCGGCGAGAGCGTGGCGAGGTGGCGCTGGCTGGCACCCTCGGCAGCTGAGCGCCCCGCGGAGCGGGGACGGGCCCAGCGCGGAGCCTGCGGCAGGAGGTGACTGCGGGGCGCCGTGCGGGCAGGGCCTGCGCGGGGCCTCCTCCAGGGAGAGGCCGCCCCGCAGCCCGCCCGCGGCGCTGGGACGGGGCGGCGCGGGCGCTCCAGGGTTGGCGGGGCCCGGCCGCGGTGCGGGCCCGAGCCTGGCACTGCCCCCGCCGGCGGGGCGGGCGGAGCAGGCGCTTGTTCGGGTGTCCCAGGCACCGCGGAAGATCGACGCGGGTTTTTGTCGAGTGCACCCCGGGAACGAGCCATCCCCGCAGGAAGAACTATTGCGGAGAGGGCATCCGGGCTGGTCCCGACATGCGCCTCGAGGGCACCTTCCCAAGTTGTAGGAACCACGGTAGACGTTTGTCCAGCACGGTGACACTGCCCGGGAGGTTAAGTTCACACTGTCCCCAGTGTGCCGTAGTCTGGCCGTGCTCTTGGATCCCGAGGGTGCCCAGTACTAGGGGGTGTGGGTGAGTGGTGTTCAGGAGCTACACACCCCTAAACACCTGGTGAAAGAGGCCGACATAGCACAGCACGAGGTAAGCAGGCTCTGATAGCTGCAGACAGGAGAGCTTGTTCTGGCTTGACCTCGTGGTAAGACACCAAAAGATTAGATTCCACAGCACTGCATAACAAGATAGCAACCCCACTCTGGCTGTCTCATGATAGTAAGTCATTTGCTTTTGTAATTGGGAAGATAAAACCTAAATTTCCTGAGCCCCACACAGATATGTGTAATACATCAATCACATCACTTGGCTTTTGACAAGACAAATCCAGGGGGAAGGGAAATTCTGTCATGTTCCGTTTGTTTTCCTTGTAGATACTGCTGAAGTACCTGCTTTCCACCACTTTCCTCATTTAACTTCCCCTTGGGGTCAGCTGGTCATCAGCATGCCTTCTACCAAGAACACCTCAAAACTTTTCCTGGTCCTCTTCTCACTGCTGCTGGTGCTGCCAGTGGTTGAAGCCCTGGATGCCGGAGATACCATTGCCTTTCTTCTAGGCCTCGCTGTCAGTGTTGTCGGATTCTGCGCCTGCCTCGGCTTGTATGCAAGGAAAAGGAATGGGCAGCAGTGATTTCAAGAAAATGCTCAGATGAAGTGAATTTCCTAACATGGCTTGGGGTTGGGTGTAAGACTGAGCTTTGGTTCTAGATAACTTTCAAAAAACAAATAGTAGATGTTTCTGCAAACCTGTCTTACTGTTCAGTACAACAGAATCAAGACTGTACACAGTAAAAGGGATTTTTAGGATCTGCCCTTGTGACAGAAGTATAATTTTATATTGCTTGTGATTAAATATTGCCTCAGAGAAGGGTAAGAACTTTTTGAATGGGGAAGAAAAACTATAGAGTGGCTCACAGTAAAAGTCTATAAATGTAGCATGTGAGGGAGGCCGTCAACAAGTTCCACAATTTTGGTTTCAAGGTTTATTCAGGAGGAAGCAGCTATTAATCTTCTAGTCAGGATGACAGAGTTTTGAAAGTTCTCCTAACTAGATAGCTGGCAAGCTCTAACTTGTGTGCTTGTGCTCACCTTCTCTGTAATGACAGTTAACACCTAACAGCTCACTTCTGCTGTCACAGGAATGAGACTTAACGAGAACTAAGAAAACATGAAAGGCTTTTTCTTTTCTTTGAGAATATTTTTAGAGCATTTTTATTTTAGAATATGCCACTCCTGTAGCCTATGTTCTTGTTACCAAGTAAATACACTTAAGAGTGGGACCAATATTGTTATTTAACATGTATTTCACAGAAAAGTACGTGTAAGGCTATGTAAATCAGATTAGGGATATGGGCTTTGTCTCTTGTTTATTTTTGTACACAGCTTTCCTTTAGGCGTACCATGTTTAAGCTTTATTTCATTTGCTGTTTGTACTTTTTTCTCCAAAACTGAAGACTTATCTATTTTGATGAGGAATTATGTGTAGTATTTTTCTGCATTAGGAAGTTATTAGAGTTATAGTAAGACCATTGTACACATGTTTCTTAGAAAATGTACACATGTTATAGAAAAAACTTGTTTTGTTAAAATCCTGGGTTTAGTTAACAGGTCCATTGCTCAAGTGTCTTCCTCATGACAAACTTACGTTACTAGCTAAATATTTAGGCTTCTCTAACTGGTGCATGTGAGTTCCACAGAAGATTAGGACCAAAACCAAAGTAAAAAGTCCTGATGCAAAATGGGAGATGTATTCTATTCACGCTCAGTCAGATCGTATGGTATATGGTTGAAAGACTTAATAGCATATCTAGAACCTTCTCTAAGTACCAAAGGTGAAAAGGCTCAGCCAAGAATGTTTACCACAACTCCCTCCAGCTTGTTAGGGTGTTCTAGCTGTCTGCTTGAAGCAAGGAGCACAATCTCTTAAAAGCAGCAGAATAAGGAGCATAGGAAGGTGAGCTTTCCACAGTTCACAGAATTTCCTTCTGATCTTGTGCTGTGGACAGTGCCACTCTTGCTAGAAATCTTGGCTTTTATCTTTCAGAGCTGGGGAAAAAGGTTACATGTGATGCGAAGCTATTCCTCCACTTCAAGTCTCTGTTCAGTAGAGCACCAAGCTAGAAGAGTTGTTGGGCAGGTCTTATGTAAGAAATTGGGTGGCATATTATGTTCTACAAATTCAAAGATTTCTGCATGCCATTTTTGGCTGGTTTGACTTCTTTCTTCAGCCTCTGAGGAGACAGAAGCCCTTGTTATTTCAGTCTTGCAATTTATGTCCCTCTCTCATGGTTGATAGAGGGAGGAGGTTAAAATGAAAGCTTCTAAAAATTGCATGGGATTGAAACTGTAGGATTCAATTCAGTAATCTGCAAGAATGTAGGTTTCTGATTTCACGTTACAAGAATAAAGGTCACAGAGTTACTCTGATGAGTTGCAAGTTTTGCCAGGTTCTTGAACAATTTTTGTAGCTTTCAAAAGTCTGGGACATGGTGCACAATGACTGTGTACAAATGAAATTACAGGCCTTAGAGGAGCTTCAGACAGTAGCATCACCTTTGAAAGCTGCCTAGCAGCAGTAGATGATCCTGTATGTGATTATTCAGCTGGGTGGGTGCAAGCACACATCAAAGTGTGATCTTCGATGTTCCAGCTTGGGTAAACCATTACACTTAAAAAAAACCCCAACCCCCAAAATCACCACTCAATTCACTTTAATTTTGCAAAATTACATAATTTTGCCAATTTTTCACTAGAATATATATGTTGCTCTTTCAATAGAATAAGTTTTATCACAAGCAGCTTTTCACAGACTCCTTTACCTACACTTTGGAAAAGATCCCTGGAAACTGGGCAACAGTTTCACTTCAGAAAAACAAAATTTTAGCAGAGTAATTATCTTCAAGCAATAGGGATATGAGGAACACTGTTCTTTGCCCGAAGCTGAATGTACTTTATTGAAAGGTGTTTGCACAGCATAATAGCTTTGTTTCCTGGGTTCTGAAAGAAGCTTTATTGTTAAAGACTTCCATTTGTTGATGTCTTGAGTGTAAAATCAGATACCCCTGTTTTTCTTTTGTCTTAATAAACTTTCACATATGATTTATCATCAGCTTGATGTAGTTCTTATGAAAAGAAAAATCATGATGACAAAAATGACTAAAACTGTTGAAACTCCTTCTGTTATTATTTTCTTATCTACTTTTGCTTAAAGTTAGATAACTTTAAAACTAATGTGGGATAAGGTATGTGTTCAGTTGAGCTTTTGTACAGTGAGCGTACTTCTGTAGATTCTACTACTTGTTTATCCCATTTCAATATCAGCTACTTTAAAGCACTTAAAGAGGGCTGGTCCCCTTTGACACTGTCAGCTTGCAGTTGCAAAGAATCCTGTTTTTCTGGTACAAGGGAAACTTGAAGTATTATTTATTTTTCCTTTTCACTATGAATTTTTAACATATCTATTATGTAGTTGCCTTTATACCAGAAAAGCTATTTATGTCAGTTTTCTACTGGAGACAGTTAAATTCCAAATCTAACTTTATAGTTTTTCATCATATAGTGTCACTATGTGTTAAAATGATTTTTCACTTCTTAAAAAAAATTAAGGGGCCGTTGAGTACAAAACAAGAAAATGAAGTTATTTTGCATTTGCCTTCTGGTTAGCCAAGTGGATTCAATGTTCCCCACTGATGGGGAAAACCCTTCTGCCTCATGCCACCTTCATTTCCCCTTTTAGCCATTTGCTTTTAATCATGTGGTTTCAGTTACACTGAAAGTCCAGAACGATTAATTGAAGGCTGTCAATTTGATGAGGCAGCTAGCAAAACCAGGTTCTAGGAGTCTTATTTTGTAGTGTCTCAAAACTACTGAGTCATCTAGCAAATTTCAACATTAACTATTTATTTCTATTGTAGGTGTTTTAAGACAAGTTATATATCTCACTTACAGATTTATGACTTTGTGAAGGAAAGCTGTGTACTGAACCATAAATGCAGGGGTATGGGCCCAGCAAACAGATGAAGCAGCTTGCCTGGACATACTAATCACCACCTACCAACACAGGCACACCCTCTCACTCGGGCTGATGATAATCAGACAATAAAACAGGGAAGGGCTGTTAGCTATATATATAAAAGGAAACACACCACAGAATGGCCTGAATGCAAAAGTAGTTTCTTGTCTCAAATATTTGTCTTATCATTTGAACTTCACAAGTGATTATGAGGTTCTGGCTAAAATTCCTGCTAGTCCAAATTAGGTGTGATAATGTGAAGTGCTATGTATTTCTTGCATCAGATTTGAGGTAGACTGGGAAATATGTTCTTTATATTTGTAATATACTAAGGTGCTTGCAATACCCCTCTTTCAGAGAATACCGGCCTTTCTGTATATTTTTTTCTTGAGTATTATATTTCATGCCCTGTGAGGCCATCCATCTAAGAGAAGGTCACTCTAAACAAACCTACGTTCTGAGACCCTCACTGCCACTGTCCGAGTTTCACT